TGGAAGATGAGGCTGCTGTTCCCATCCACCTGGGCACCAATCTGCCCTGCACTGCCCACCTGCATGGCAGGGATATTGATGGTGGTGACTGTCCCATCCCAACCCTACCTCCACTACCATTTCCATCCCCATCCCCATTTCCCATTCTCTGTCCCATCCCCATTCCCCATTCTCTGTCCCATCCCCATTCCCCATTCTCCGTCCCATCCCCTCTCTCATCCCCATTCTACCCCCATCTCTCCCTCATTATCCCATCTCTATCCTCACCCCATCTCCATCCCCCTCACCTCCACACCCATCAACCCCATCCCGACCATCTCCCCTTCCCCATCACCTTCATCCCCCCCCTCATCCCAGAGATGATGTCCCAGCAGGACAAAAGCCAGGCTGACCTCCCAGGTGGGCTCCCATACCTTCCCCCAGGTGATGGTGGGTGGTGGGTCCCCGTGGGCCATGCAGGGGATCACCAGCTCCCTGCCCACCTCCTGGAAATACTCCTCCTTGGGACGCACCGTGAAGGTGGGGGGATCCTGGAAGAGCCACACGTGGCACTGGGGATGGTGACAACACACAGCAGGATGGGGCTGTGGTGACATCCCCACTCCTCATCCTCACCTTCAGCAGGACACGGGTGGGTCGGGATGCACCGGCGGTGCCGTAGCTGTTGTAGGGGGTGCAGGTGTACACCCCTAGAGCATCATCATTCCCCGTGGCGATGATGATGGAACCATCAGGTCTCGTGGACCACCCTGGGAACTGGGAGAAGGGAAGGAGGGTGAAGCCAAAGGGGCACTGGGATGCTGTGGGGTGGGTGCACACAGCCCTACCTTGCCCAGCTCCAGTGGGCGTCCATCCCGTGTCCAGCTGACGGAGAGCAGAGGGGGGTTGGCTCTGGTGGGGCATCGGATGATGCCTCGCATTCCCTTGGGCAGGTGGGTCTCTGGCAGCATGGTTGTCACCTGTGCTGGGTCTGTGGGGACGAGAGGGGTGTTGGGAAGGTGCCAGGGACCCCATGGCAGCTCCACAGAGCACCCCAAGGCTCTTACACAGCACTGTGATGAAGGCTGAGGCTGAAGGCGGCTTCCACAGCCCGTTGCTGGCAATGCAGGTGTATTTGCCTGCATCATCTGGGGTGGTTCGCTGGAGCAGGAGGCTCCCATCCACCAGGATGCGTACCCGTGCCTGGAGGTGGCTATAAGGGGATGAAGGGGTGGAAGAAAACACAGCAAGGATGGGAGAAGCCCCCTTGTCACACACCATCACACCCAAAGGTGCCCAGATCCGCGCTTGCTGTGGGCAAAGTCCTGTTGCCTCCATCCACCATGAGCCCACAGCCACAGCAGTGCCTCCCCGGCATACCTGAGATGGAAGACATTGCTGCTGCCCTGGAACCAGGTGTACGTGAGGTTTCCTGGGTATGCCTCAGCCTGGCATGCCAGGAAGGCATCTTGGGAGATATTAACGGTGACATTCTGCGGTGGCACCACGATAACGGGCGGCCCTGCAAAGCAGAGAGGACCATGAGGGTTGGGGGTGGGACAACTGAGGAGGGGACCCTCCCCCCTGAGGTGGCCCCAGGGACTCACCCTGCACGAGCACACGGGTGGTGTGGGTGATGGTGCCCTCCTTGCTGGATGCATGGCACGTGTAGGTGCCCGCACTGGTGCGCTCCACCGCGGCGATGCTCAGCGTCCCGTTCCTCACCTGCAACGTCACCAATAGGTGGGACAATGTGGGATGGGGAGCCCCACCCCCAAGTTGGTGTCACGCTGAGCTCACCTGCACTGTGTCCCCGCTCTGCAAGGCCAGGTCACTCCTCTTCCAGCTGATGATGGGCTGTGGGTTGCCCACGGCCATGCAGGTGAGGCTCAGCGCATCGCGGTCCCGCACCTCCACAAACGCCGGGGGGGTCACCAAGAAGGTTGGGGGTGCTGGGAAGAAAAACGCACTCTCAGACATGGGGAAAGAGAGGATTTGACCCCAGCCCTGAGAGCGAGGGGTCTGGAGCGGGATCCTGTCCTGCAAAGGAGGCAACGGGAGCAGTGCTGCCCTCAGAATGGAGCAGCACAAAGGGTGGACCACAACAATCAGCCACCCCAGATGCGGGGAATGGGGGTGACAAAGGGATCCCAACACCCAACTCAGAGCAGCGGGACCCCCACCCCATCCCTACCATTGACAGTGAGGTGGATCCAGGTCCCGTTTTGGAAGTCAGCGTCGTTGCTGGGTCGGTCGAGGAAAAGCACACGGCACTCGTACCAACCCTGGTCCTCAGCACGCAGCAGGTCGATGCGTAGTGATGCGCCCTCCTCGATCCGCACGCGACCTGCAGGACAAAAAGCACATGGCACTGCTTGGGGACAGCCGTGTCCCCCCCCCCCCCCCC